TGATCCGGCTACATTTCCTTCTTCATAACGATTTTCCATGTCTCTTAATTGAAAGTCTAGCTCATCAACATCAGCATCTCTCTTTTCAATTTGACCTAACTCCAAGGATTCTACGTCTTCAGAAGATTGGCTTCCGTGTCCAACATACTTGGAAACATCCTCAATCTTGGAGATCGGCTCTGGTTCCCGAGGTATATCTTCTTCAACATTGTCTTCCATCTCAGATATCAGCTCTGTCTCCCGAGATATGACCTCTTCAATGACTTCTGTCTTGGAAATCACATCTGGTTCCTCAGAAATATCTTCTTCTGCCAGCTTTCTATCTTCCAGATCCCCGACCGAACCAATAGATTCTGTTTCGGGAACAGAACTCACCTTAGAGTCACTAAGTTCACTTGATTGTCGCTGAAAATGTGAAAAGCTGGATTCTTCCGAAATCATCCCTTCTGGCACAAAATATGGCCTTAATTTGATATCCCTCTTCTCTTGCCTATTTGGAGCAAAAATTGAGGGTCCCACATTAAAACTCTCATGTCTACGGAAAACCGGTTCCTTCGGTTGAAATGTCATAAAATCCTCTCTAAAATCATCGCCTATAAGATCTGGCTTCTCTTCACTTGAGTCATAAGGAATATCAAAAGGATTTCGCCTTGGTAATAAAATAGATGGAGCAGAACCAGGAATTGGAGGTAGCCCAGAATTATTATGAGGAAGGTCAAATGGGTTATGCCTTCTTGTTGAAATTGGTGCAATGTTGAATGGAAGATCAACACTTTCTAAGTCTATCAAGTTCCTTTCCGGCAACATGCTCATATTTTTCCTTGCTCTCCTCCTTGCAATTAAATTTTCTAACCGTTGATTCCTTTCAAGCTCAGAACTTCCCAGTTCCATCAGATTCTTTTGGTCCTCTTCCGTCCACATAATAGCAGATTTCATCTGCTCCTCTTTGTCTCCTAGTGTGTCTTCTTCATCTTCAGCATCTTCATTTTCATCATCTGCAACTTTTAGGTCCGTGTGATTTTCAGTCTCATCATCTGACTCATGACTGCCAGTACTGGATTTTGGAGAATGTTCTGATGCCGCATCAGACCCATCACGGGACAAATGAACAGGATGAGGAACATCTTCATCCAAAAGTGGGTGAAGCTCATCAAGCATCGGAATTATGTCAGTCATTGAAGCATCTGGAGAGGAACTCTCAGCTTTATCAGACTCAGGATCTAAAGTCCCACCCTCTTCTTTCTCTTCCTCCTCCATTTCTTCCATTCGTTTCCATGGTGATCGAGGAGGAGAATCCAGAGAATCTACATTTACCCTCTCAGAATCAAAAGAATCCGCTTGTGACTTGTCGTCATCTGATTCAAGATGTTCATCATTCGGAATAGGAGAATACTGATTCTTTGAAAGTATCTCATTATCAAGTTGCTCTTCTTTCAATTCTCTCTCCTGCTCATGTCTCGAACCAGCCGACTCTCTTTGTGCTTCCTCAATTATCTTACTCTCCCATTTAATTTCCCGGGATCTTTCCTCAATCAATGGCATAGTATCATCCAAACTATCACGTCCATCAACCTCACTAGTTTTACCAGCTTCCAAACCCAATTCCGCTGTCAACTTTTCTGCTAAATCGCTTCTTTTCTCGTCATATCTCTCAACTGAGTAGTTCTCACTTCTCTCAACAACAGTAGAATTCCCTGCCAACCCAGTTTTCAAAGACGCGACCCCATTGGTTGTTTTCTCCTCTTTTTCGATCTCGGGTAGGTTCGGTTGCCCAAAACTTAAAAGGGTTCCAAGTAAAACAGCAGTACAAACAAGAATTGGAGACGCGGATACGAACAACGAAAACACAAAAGGAAATGATCTGTGCAGAAATATCAAGAAACACAAAAGACCCACAAGGAAAGGATGACTGCAAACTAATCTAAAACATCCTCTAATTGTACAGATCACAAATTTTCTCATTTTAACTCCAGTTTCCAACAATCCAACACCCATTTGTTTCAGTTCTTACACTCAAAAAGTAAACCTCAGTTTCAAACCTGCCACAAAATAAAATTTTCCACCAGATCAGTCATTTCAATTCCCAAAAACAACAAACAATTAAAAAGTTACATTAATCAAGAATTACCTTATATAAATATCAGATTATGATTCAATCAGTGACTGAAAAGCCAAAAACAGAGGAAGATAAGATTTCGCAGAATTTTATAATAATTGGAAAGAATTCAACTTTAACGACTCAAAAATAGAGATCAATAGCCCAAAATTGAAGTATAAAAATCAAAAAATACTTTACTTCATATAAATACAATTCTTTGCTTTCCACTTTTTCTCTTTCCTTTTTCACCTCAGCTACAGCTCTAATTCCAGTGTTCAGTACGAGTTTTTAATATTGAATATAGAATTGCATAAAGCGAAATGGGTTACCCAATTGAAGAGAAAAAGAAGGTTAAAATAAAAGAAAAGTTGGGATCTTTCTTTTCCAATCTAGACTTTGTGTGTTCTTTAATTCAAAGGAGATAATATTATAATAATTGTGTTTAACGAGAAAATTTCATTCGAGGTGATCTAATGTTTGTGTTTTGTTTCACGCTAGTCATTTAACTTTAATTTACTTCAATTTGTTCATCTTAGTTATATTTTTATTTCATTTTAGTTATACATTGATAGTAGTTACTGAAAGTAACGGAATTGGTGACTCGACCAACGAAATTCATGTTTTAGTCTATACTTTTGACAACACAATTTATGTTCTAAAACATACAAATTCTAGGTATTAAACAGGACAAGCCTTTAATTGTGCGAAATGATGTAAAAAATTAAAAATAAAACAAATCGCTCAACTAGTCATGTCAAATATTTTACTAGTTAGATCAAAATTTAGTCCCAAATTCTTCAGTTTTGATAAGGTTCGTTGGCAAAATAGCCACATCAAAATATATTTAAAAAACTTAAAGTTTGGTGATGAAATTTAAATAAATTTAAGTTGAATGACCAATATGAAATAAATTTTAAGTTATATGACATCACATCAAATTTTCTCTTTTGTTTACTAATACAATTATTTCACTCTAATGACAGATAATTTATAGTAATCTGCACGGTAATGATGAATCTGATCCGTCGGATTGATCATTACGGTTGTAATAGAGGCTGAGAGATGACATTGTTAATATATTGATTGAAAAAATAAATAAATAAATAAATCGGACGGCTGAGATTTGAGATCATAGCCCCATGATCTCTAAGGCTGAGCACCTTTTAAGAATGGAATAATTTATTTATTTATTTTTATTTTTGTTAAATCGAGCTAATATGTAAAAAATAAAATCACATAAAATTTGTAATTGTTGACGTAATCATAACATTGACACGATCACAACATTGACAATCTATCATTTGTAACTGCTAATAGATTTGTATCAATGATCATCCACGATTTCGTCCAATATTTGTATAATAAGTATCGTATAAAATTGCAAGTGAACAATATTTTAACAGGTACTAATAGAATAGTGAATAGAATATTGTTTCACATAAATTTGCATCATAAGTATTGAAATTCATCTTTAATTTTATGCTGATATACAAATTGTGCTCAACTTTAGCTAACAAGTAATTTAAACTAACTAAAACCGAGGGAAGTCAATAAACAATCTTGACAAGAATAAGATTTACATAATAATAATAATAATAATAATAATAATAATAATAATAATAATAATAATAATAACAAATAAATAAATAAATATCCTAGTTTCTACAATATTTTCAATGATCACTGAACTTTACAAATTTTCCGACTACTTGACGTGAACTAATTTGCAAGGTATGTCACATGTAAGTTTTCATTATTCACGTCATCCATTATATCCCCATCATATACAAAGGTGCAATGCATGTAGTAAACCTGCGAGCCTTGGGGGCCACACAACGGTCCGTGTGGTGTATTGCTTTCATTTCTAGTGCAAATTTCACATATCACCCCTATAGCTTCGCGATGTACTCATCACGATTATCATGGGCGGACCCAAGGTGGGTCATGGGGGTCACAACATTTGAGATTTATTTTTTTCCTTTTTTTTTTTTTTTTTTTTTGGTAAAGTCATGTTTGGTATCAATTGAAATTTAAATTTTAATCTAAATCAAGGTTAATAATTAATTATAATAACATATTTACTGAATTCCTAACTTCTAAAGTTTTATCAAAATTTACTAAAAATTAAACTTTAATCCCCCATCAAACAGAGACAAAATCACGATAAATTTGAATTCTCTCTTTTTTATTACTCTTATCTTATCATATTTTCTCCCTCAAGCATTTTACCAAAATGTTAACTCTTCTAATTTTTTAAACTTTGTTTATAATTTCTCTACAATTATCACATCTACTACAGATTTTCACTTTTCAATCAAATTGTCAACTAATTAGAACTTAAATTTGCATTTTTTTTTCATATCCTATTTGTGTATATAGCACTTATCTAAACTGATTATATAAAATTTAACTTATATCTAATGAATTGTGTTTATTTAACTAGTTATTAGCATTAAATACTGATTATTTGTTTTTTCTTTCGATTACTTGAATTGATTGCTTGTATCAAATACACAATTTTTTAAAATATAAATATGCATTTTCTTGTGACGAACAAAATATTAATAACATTATTGTTCAAAATCAAATAGATGAAAATGATTAACAAAATATTAATGAAAAAATATTTTTGAAATGTAAATCTACATTTTATTGGGTCAAATATGAATCATTCAAAAATAAAAAACAAAGTATTTGATTTGTACAAAGTTTAATTGTGTCCCCTAACTCAATTTATCTACGTTCGCTCGATTATTAACTCTCCCCACATGACATAGTGCTTGCATGGAAGTGATTTTATTTATTTATTTAACCATTGTTTGATCCTCATTAAATTACATTCTATTTTTCTCTCTCCTATTTTCAACCACACAATCTTTCATAAAATAATATTATACGTAAATCGAAAAATTTTCCTTCTTTTTCAACCACTCATTTTTTAACAAAGCACTATTCTTCACATTTTCATTACTAAAAATGGGGGCCAAACGAGGGCTTATTTATTTTTTGAAGAATGCGTAGTTGAAAATAAGTATCTTCCACACGAGTACATAATCTTCCACCTGGACAAGCATGTGAATTCCACTGTGGGCCCTACAAGACATGCCTGACTAATGAAACATCAGTAAACCGATTACCTATGATCAATCAATCTCTCACACAAACATATATATGTGTTAGTATGATAATATTAAAAAGCTTGTTGGGAAGGGAGAGACTAAAGAATCAAGAGAGAAAAAAGAAACTCACTGTTGATCTTCATCTTGTGCAAGGACATAAAAAAGTACAAAATGAAACCTGAAAAGAACCTTCATGGCCAGAGCCAGAGGAGTTTTGCATGAAAACAAATGTTTACATTCGAAGTATGTTTAGCACGAAATCCAAATGCAGCAGCAGAATGCCACAAGGGAGAATGAAAAAAAATAGATTAACTAAAGAGGAACAAACTTCACAAACAGTAATTTATAGTAAAAAAGGATTTCCAATACAGCACAAGAGCACGGGGTGTAACATACCTATGATTTTCACCCTCGTCAAATCTTATTGCTGTCTGAACAGCCTGGCTCCAACAACACGAATAGCACTGCATAAAAACTTGTCAAATGTTTGTGAAACAAATAATGCAGAAGGATATATTCACACACCTGTGCAATTAACTGGTTTCCTCCAACATTACACTGGATGGTATCTTCCAAATCCGCAAAGGAACGAACATTAATTCAAGGGTTGATTTTCATGTGTCCAGGAAAAGTAAACGCATTGAAATTAATTTCAATCAGATCCGTCGTGTTCATATGCTCAAATTATTGAAGACAGAAGCATGCCTTTACAAAATCAGATGCAAAATATAACAGAGCGACGTGACAGCATAGCTGTATATATGTTAACAACTGAAAAATAACTACGTTCAGATTCTAAATGAAGCACTCCCAAGTCCCAACACATCAACCAGGATCATCATTGACATCATTTTAACAGTATGTATCTAAAGCTCGAAACTGAGCACATAAATCCTGCATCACTAAGACTCTAAGAGCATGTTTGGCTAAGATTAAAAAGTTCTTACAAGTATGAAGCAAGCAGTGAGGAGTAGGAAAAAGGAAAAATAACCAAAAAAAAGGTAATTTCTACCTTTTATTTTTAAAGCTTAGCTAAACATGCTCTAAGTGCATTTCCTAATCACTATAAGCAAACAACAATGGTCATAAATTTCTTAACTCCGTGCATACTGGAAATCATTGCAGAGTCTTCCCTGCAACATGATCATAAACCTAGGTTCAGAGTTAATGCAACATTTTCAAACACTTGTCTTATGTGAGCGCTGTAAAATATTTCACAACTGTTGTGCTTCCACAGTGATTTCAAATCTCTCAGACATGCATGAAAAAGAATTATAAAAGAAGATACATGTATAAGTCATATTCTGTTGATATGAAGAGTAATTAGATTGCAAAAATATAACAAATTTGCAGAAAATGAAAATTGTGACAAAGAAGAAGAAAAGAATATCCATATCAAACTATACAAAATCACAAGTCAGATTCAGTCATACATAGCTTACATCTGAAGTTCTCTATGGCAAAAGGAAAACAGTAGTTATGAAGAAGTTTTCTCCGTTTAAGGCCTCACATTTTCAGTTCTTCAAGCTGAAAGTTACTCTCTTAATGAGATCACAAATTTCTTTTGCTTTCTATATATAAATGGTTTTTTTTTTTTTTTAACTTATATCCATGTGTGACATAGAAAAGCTTCCTTCATAGGGAAGAGTTAGTTTCCTTGGCAGCATTGCCACCAAAGGAGTGATATCTCCTTAAGTCGTATCTTTCTAAAACTACATAAGTTTTCTTTAACAGCATAATCAGAAAGAAGAGACCACATTAATCAAATCTAATAATCGAGCAGGAAAAATGAAACTCTATTTTATTTACACTTCATAGCATTGAGTTACAAGTAAAGTAACATATCTCTTCAGGATCACAGCCAGCAACAACAATCACTTTCAATCAACAATGAACAGATCCTGAAAATACACAAGTATTCACTAGTGGTTCCAATACAAGTTTTGTCCCGGGGAAATTAGTATCTCGTCAAAAAAGTTAATCCTGATCTTTAAGGTCATGAGCAATATTACAATCAGCAAAATCCATTTGTTCCACAGAATGAAGCAACAGGGATTAAAACATCACCAGGCTAGTAGAAGTCCCAACAACAAACGGTTCCATTAGTAGTCTCGTCAAAAAGTAAAACAAGATTCCCAAAGTAATTGATATGGGAAGTGCAGGCAGCGCATGCCGACAAACTGCCAACAATATGAGAGTACATCCAAGTCCTGATATAATCACGAGATAACAAGCGTAAACAGTCATCAAATCATACATCGCTGCCCTACCCACCAACACACTATAGAAAACAAAATCCCCAAGGCCAAGCTTCAATCCCCTTAAACCTGTTCCAGCCATATCCTCCCCCTGACTCTCATTCTCTCTAGATCCGCCATTGTTTGTCCTCTCACTTTGGGTTGATAGCCTTTCCATTAAACTACCACCACCGATCAAAGGAGAGCTCTCTCCTACATCCTCTCTCACCTCTTCAATCTCGCTACTTTCATTTTCCAACACATTGATTATGGACTCCGCATCCCAATTATTATTATTATTATGATTATTATTATTATTCCTCAACATTACCCGCAACTCAACCGCACCACCATTACTTCCACTATTATTTCCCGTAACCCCACCAACTAAAAGTCCCAAACTTGAGCCCCTAACACCTGACCTTCCCATATCCACAGTCGGTCTTGCCTCATATATCAAAGCTGGCAACTCTTCATCCCGACTCGCTGCCAACTCCACCAACAATTTTAATGGGCCACCAGGCGCCAAAACCGCCACCAAATCATAAATAGCCAGCGCCACCAACAAAACCCAAGTAGTCCATTCAGGCAACTTGGTAAACCACGCCGCCACGATAATCCCCAAAGCCACCATATAACTCTGCTTCAACACAATCGGTCCGCCACTCGACAAAACACAAAGAGTACCCACAATCGTAAAATTAAAATGCAAAACACAGAACGTAACAACATCAACAGGAAAATTAAAATGCTGAATGAATGAAAGCAGAACGGACCCTCCCATAGACGAAAAAACAGCAAAGGCGGAAAAGCGCGTGTAATGCACGAGAAATTTAGTGAACTTATAGTAGTAAAGGAAAACAAGAAGGAAAGTCACAAGGGCTATTAGGATAATGAAAACGGCGGCGTTTAAGAGAGAACCCTCAAGTTTTTGTGCGGTAGAATCGGTGGGTGACTCCATGTAGACCAAATTGGCGGCGGTCCTGATGGTAGTGGCGGTGGCGGGATTGTAGAGGGAGTAGACAAGCAGGACTACAAGGAACATGCAGATGGAAACTGGGGACATTACGCCTATGATTTCTTGGCCGATCGAATCTAGGATGCTGCCGTCGGGCTCCATTTTGGTAAGAATTTTGTGACTATTTGGCGGTGCAGTAGGGGAAGAGAGGGAAATTGAAGGGGGAAAGCCGGAAAGGAAATGGAGGAGAGATGACTAATTTGGGAGTTGTTTGGTTATAAGGGTTATTTCAAATGGTAGAAGTGGAGTCTTCCAATGGCTGCAAAATCTCTTGCGAGAACGTTACGAGCATACAATTATATCAATATATATACCCCGTCGAACCTTGTGGTGTTACCAAAGTGACTATTGTGATGAGTTAATGGAGTAAACTGCTCTATGTACATAGAGCCCGTGCAATTTCCATTTTTTGATCTCAAAAAATAAAAAATATGACCGTTATCCATCATATTTGACTTTCTATTTCTTGTATAAATCCCATAACGATATATTTTTCATTCTCATTCTTAGAGTTCATTTTACGATTAGGTTACAATATCGATTGATCCAATTCAAATAACCAATTTCTTTGCTCGGGTCAAGTTGAATCAGTCGTACCTATGACACAATCAAATTGGTAGGAAGAAAATATACACGACAAATTTTTGACAAACTCAAGAAACTCTTTCTTTTCGTATAAATAAAGAAAACAAGAAAAGGAAGAACACAAAATTTATGTAATTCGACAATGAAAGAACACAAGATTTATGAAATTCGACAATGTGACGAACTCTAGATCAATCATCAACCATAATAATAACAAGCGACGTGAAAATATCTCTTGAACACGAAACAAAAAGTATACATGAAAATATCTCTTGAACACGAAACAAAATGTACTGATTACACAAACCAGAGGCTCCCAGAACAATAAATATTACATGACTAAGCCATTCAAGAATGTGCGCGGACAGGTTGAGAAAATCCCCACTATTATAATTATACAATCAATTCAAAGCTCCTACAGTTACACTCTCAGTTGGAATGGTAAGCTAATGGTAATAATACAAACCCCAGGAGTTCGACTGGTAGTCACGAACGACTACACAGGATTTTCAAAGCCAGGACTCATTTTGCAAAGAACGTGAAAGCCATATAGATGAAGAGCTCTGTCAGTTTGGAGTCCACGAAGAGAAATGCAAGATTGGCTAGAAAAGTTCAGTAGACTCGTTTGAATCCTATGCAAAAGGATTTCCTCCGATAGATGCAACATGGCCTTGTGCCGGGACATTCCTGCAAGAATACCAAACAAATGATCATGGATGATTATGATTTATTTTCAAGCAGTATACAGAGGCAATTACTTGAATCCAGAATCCAGTTAGTTAAGGTATTTTACATAGGAAATTCACAATTTAAGCATTTGAATGACATATATCACCACCCAAATTACAGCTTTTTAATTCTTCCACTTTATCGTTGAACAAGTTGCAGGTTAATTAAAATTTCCTCTTCCAATCTAGTTTTCTTTCATAAATAATCGATCAATATCACGTAACCTTGTAAGTCAAACATTTGACATATTTTAGAGGCCAACCACAAAAGATATGAGTCACAAACAGAGAATAACATAGATGTAATCAACAAACATAAAATCAGTCAACGGGGAAAAAGAAAGAGAACATACGGTAACTGGTTGCTCGGTGATTGTCCTGCAATAAATCCCAATGAGCCTGCAGGGTATACCCTCATCAAAAAGGACACATAACGATAAAATAAAGATTTTTTCCTTGAAGAAGACGTCCCATTTTTCTTGAAAAGGATGATAGTCAAATGAAAATGAAATACCTATGGGAGGATCAAATGTCACTCCACCAGGAACATAGCCTGTAACTGGATTTGGGGGAAACGAAGACTGGGTAACAGCACCAAGAAAGGAAGTTGGTAAACTGCTATTTGGAAGTGCCGATTGCAAAGATTTCATGTCCCAGAACTGAGACTAAACATGAATCATCAAAATTAGAAATTATTCACTTCAACAATTCTCTTTAACTACAACAAAATATCCACATTTTGTAATCTTGATTAATACAAGACGATTGTACAAAAATGAAAAAGAAACAATCAGTGTCACACTCAGTTCTCTCCAGAAAGCGAGAAACAACTAAACATTTCCAAATTTTAAACCAATCTATCTTGATAAATATTGTTACTATAATGATAAGCAAGTTCCAGTTAAATGCAACTTAATAAATGATGACAAGAATGCCTCTTCCTTCCTACACCACCACATCCGTCACTCTTAAAAAGTATAAAGGTCAATCAGATCCCAGGCAACTAATGTAATAACAGAATAAAGCATCTAGATCCAACCTTTTTTCAACTAAGCACATGGTACGTCTTACTGAGTTCACATTCAACAAAACCAAGGAAGCATGAACACACCTCTTGGGGTCACAAGTCCATGCCCTGGATATGTCTGGACACAGACATGCCCACAAGATAAAAGCCAATCAACAAGTACTCTACTAATTTGTTTGTAAATGAACTTTCCATTAATCAACACCCTAGTAGGTGCACCACACATACAAAGATCATAGGATTTATCCGTCTAACAAAGGTATATGCTCTCCAAAAGCATTTAAGATGTGATCTAGTTAGCAGCTCTGAATGGAAAATTTAACAACTAATCTAAGATTCTAAATCACAGTTTGTCATGTATCAATCAAGAACAAACAAGGGGGGGGGGGGGGGGGGGGGGGTTGTTTCCCATTTTTGTAAAAATGAGAATGAAAAATATAGTCGTTATGGACCCCACACAAAATATAGAAATTCAAATTTGGTGACGATGTAATGGATAACGATCATATTTTTCATTTTAATGGGGAAAGAATAAAAGAAAACAGGGGCAAAGTAAAACATCCATAATGAAGCAGAAGTCACTGCTTGTCATTTTGTGACTCACATGAGAAACATTAATCAAAACCCCACTCCTTTTTTCTTTACTTCAAATAATAATACTAATAATAAGAAGCCTCCAGTCCACTTATCACTAGATCTAAAGAGCAAGTCATTTAATGCAGGACCAAGAAAATAAAGAAAGTAAACAAGCCATACCATATTACTAGATTCCATGTCAGAATCATCGGGAAGATCAAATGGATTGGAAGACTTGTGATTTGTCACGTTTGAATGTACTACATCCTATAAACAGAGTGGAAACATATCATGAATGGAAGGAGCGAACACCAATTTAAATGAAAAATTAGTCATTAGTGCAAGAAGGCTCAACCAAAGTAATAGAACAAACCGCTGCAGGAAGCGCGCGGAAATCATGCGACAATACCGTGGAATGAGATGTTATACTAGATAAAGGGGGTCCAGTATTGTCTGCAGCTCTTTGAAATATATCATTACCCAAGGACTGTAAACAAAAAAAAGCATGCAACTAAGTGCAAGAAGGGCAACATATTCATCCGCATTAAAAGGAAGATATTGCAACCTCGTGTATGCTAAATCCAAAACACTGATAGGCAGCATCTGAAGTAAATGGGCTGGTGACTGGTTCGCTACTTTTGACAGTGTTCTCAATTGAACGTTCTCCTTTGGAATCTTCGAATGCATTCCACGACTGCACAACATTAAAAGCATATAACTTCCATATAAGATCATTGAATATAAACAGAATCAAGTTCATGTTCCCCTGGTCATATATGCTACAATCAAATTGTCTGGCCAAGGCCAAACTTATTTATCTTGTACACGCAAGCCAACAGAATAGTGTTTACTTGAATGCTCGTTGCTTTTGTGGTTGCCTCAAAATTTTGTGCACCTTCATGCCATAGATTAGACATATCTGCGGAAGGTCGATGGTCAGAAGAATCTTGAGAGGAGTGACAATGCACAAGCGATCCCAAATCTATGTTTCCTAGAAAACTCATGTCAGAAGATGGTACTATGGCAGGGGTTGAATTTTCAATTCCCATAGATGATGCGTTCTGAGGACTGTCAAATGTTGCCCATCCTTCATTTTTTGGCATTCCCTTGGAGATTTTTCCATTGGAGGATTGCTGCTGAGGCATCGCAGCAAATAAGTCTAAAGATGAAGAAGGAAGGGTTTGGGATGGTTGATGTGAGTTGAAAGTTGGAACGGAAGGATTAGAAGATTGTTGGAACAAATCAACGGATTGAGCTGGACTTGAGTCTGGAAATTGAGTCATACCAGCTGCTGAAGATGCTGAGGTAACATTTTGTGTTGCAAAGGGTGCACTGAAAAGATCCAAGCTATCAAAGTTCTCAGATACTGAACGCTGTGTTTGATGGGAAGTCTCAGCAGATTGACCGGATTCTGAGGCAATTTCCAGCAAGTTAAAAGAATTTACTGATGTGAAAGACATGGAATTGCTATCAAATGATCCAAAGCTTCCTGAACCTGAAGATGCAGTTCTCTGGATTTAAAATTATTGTAGAGTCAGTAAATTAGGTAAAACAGTCAATGACAGGTAATAGTAACTATCCAAAAAATTCATGATAAATTAATGGCCAGCAAGACACAATCAACATAGGAACTAGAGACAAGGACTCGGCTAGAGAAAACCATATCTATGTTACTGGATTAATGAAATGACAATGCTGCCGTTGTATCATCATTAAGCAAAATATTATCATGTTCCTCACAATTTCTCAATTATTAAAGACTAAAAGTTTAAATTTTGTAACCATCACAACCAGAAACCAACTTCTTATTTTTCCACAAAATCCAAAGTACAAAATATATTAATAAGGCCCCAAGGAAGGGGCAATTCATGTTTAAAAAAAAAAAAAAAATCAAAAATCAAAAATCTGCTTTTATATCTCTAGTAATGGTGTATGCCAACCATAAACTCTAAATGAGAGTTTTAATAAAATGTCCATACATCCACAAACTAAACGAGAGTAAACAAAGAAAAATTACAAATTTTAGATCATTTTAAATTGCTAAATTGTCTTCTGAATTAAACCACAACTTATATGCAGGAATTTAATAATAATAATAATAATAATAATAATAATAATAATAATAATAATAATAATACTAATAATAATAATAATAACTGTTAAACATCGCTCAGAAATTGAATTAGGCAATTTTAAGAAGATGGTAACAATACTTGTACAGAGGACAATTTAAATTTTATAGTGATAAGATTTGAAAATTTTCATTTTCACTTTCTTTTTCCTTTTCCTTCTCTTTGTTTCTCTGATCTTCTTTCTTTCTTTCCTTTTTTTTTTTTTTCAAGGGAGGGGAAATGTTGGCATGCTATTTATTCCACAATTGGCATTGCATTCTTAGTGCATCCAATAGTCAGAAAGAAAAACGCAAATTCTTCAAATTTTGAAGCATGCAAGAATAAGACAAAATTCTTCAAATTTTGAAGCATGCAAGAATAAGACAGTAAAGAACTCCATAATCAAGGTTTTGCCCTCAATTTGATCCTTGATTTTAATAAAATCAAGTACCAAAAACCAATACCTGTAGAAAGGTCCAAGTAACTCCCTGTTTTACCAGAATGCACATAGGCATGAGAATCCTCACCTGTGGATGCAGCATTCTTCCTCCATCTCTTTTGGTGTATGCATCTAAATGGTTGGAAACCACATGATGCCGTCCAACTTCTATCGACGTTGCATTGAAGTGGCTTCCGATGTCTCTCTGGGAGGAAGGTGATAGCACATCAGACCTGTCCTCATATACATTATCATTAGCACGGCCAGGACTCGAGAAATTAGACAGTTTTTCTCCATATGGGCCTCGATCTGACCCAGGCTTTCTAGTGAGTCCAGGTGCGTGTTTCCCATAGCGTCGTTCTTCATACTGAAAATCATATGGTGGACTTTGTGAATAAGAATGGTATGAACTTGCTCGCCTTGTCTCATCTTCCTGGCGTTTTGCGTTCTGACAAATCAGAGTATGATCATAATTTAGTCTCCATTTAAGGTTGCATGGAAATAATTGTCATGGATAAATTAAAAGAAGTAAACCTAATAAACGTCTTTTCTGGAACCCTCTTTAGTGATCACATTGGTCCAGGAACCTAACCTGTGTATCTCTTGGTGGTTTGTCAGATGACTTCTCCAGGGCATATTTTTTATCTACATAAACATTCTTTATGAACTCACGAACTTTATCAACATTGCTGCAAGAAAAAGACACGGTTAACATTCCAGTTATGCAATTGACAGGTACTTCTGATCATGAAATAGATCTTGCACCTATTATCAGGAAGTCTCTGCCGCTGTGGATCCCAGGCCGTTAAGTATGTCTCTCTGGCACGCTGAATGAGTGATGCCTTGTAAGCAAACTGGAAAACAAGCTGCCTATCAGAGAAAAAACATGTCATATTTGCTTACCTGATTACCACCCTTTTGAAGAGCATCCACTTCTTGAGAAGTAAACTTAGCCATAGAAACAGACTTCACGCGATGAGTAAACTCACGACTGCACAAACAAGAATATTTTTCTAATTTGATGTCTTGAAATTATATTCTTCGTCAATAAACTACAAAGCAAAAGAAAATGATAAAGGATGAAAAAAATTTGTTCTAAAGAACACCACAAGGAAGTGATCCAAGGAGACATGACATGTAGTCACGTTATGCTGTAGAATACCCCATGCACATATCAGAATTGCATACTCTTTAATGGTGGTGAGCAAAATGCACTTACTGTATTCCACTGCAAGTCATGCAAACAAAAGTCCAAAAATTTGTGCAAACATATTGAGGTCCCTGCCGCCACAAATTAGTAGTCAACTCAAAACATTAATCCCATTAACAGGTATCTGAAGCTATATAAATCCTAAAATTTTAACGAAAAAGAAATTAGGATTCATATTTATTACTTTAGGTTCTTTAGCATTGAATTAGGCACTACAGCGTGTGTAACAAAATCATTTCTCCAGAAGCTAATCAAATTAATTTGTTATTCCAGTATTGTTTCAAAAGAACTAGAAGAAGGGCTTAGTATTTTCTTAACAGCCCAATTTACTACTGAATTTTCGCAATCAAACAGCCGCAAATACTGTTTCTATATCTCAATCGAGTAGAGATTTTCGTTAAAGGTATAACTTTTTCAAAATATGAATCAAATTTTCAAAAAATGGAACAAATTAATATTATTACCAAGCTGTTGCAGTTTATGCATCTTCGATTCGGAGGGAGCTTCATGAGACCCCTTATAATCTTCTCGTTTCGCTCCTCTGCTTTTCTGCTGCTCATTTTCCAGATTCCAAACCCCAAGCTCAAAAGAGAGTAAAAAAAAATTAAAATTACCCAAAAATGTATTTAAAAAAGGTTTTTTTCAGCTCAAATATTGAGGGAGAGAATTTAATTTATTCAAAATTCTCTAGGGTTTCAGTTCGTTTTCTTTCACGGAAAAGGAAAGACCGAGCCTGAATCAACCCCCCTCTCTCTCTCTCTCTCTCTACAATTTTGGGCTTCAAATTTTTAATTTCGACATTTATTTAATAATTGGGCAATTATTGCCGTTGGAATTTGATATTGCCAGTAAGGATTCGGTTCTACTGGAACTTTTGATTGTACCGTGTTTTTGGTTTGGAAGGCTAGGAATTGTAGTGGAAGTATTAATAATAGATTTGATTGTAATTAGAGATATAGTCCTTTTAAGTTTCAAATTATTGCAGTGAGATCCCCTATTTTCGGATTATATATAAATTATAATTAGTTTTCGGCTTTTTTCTAAGCTCGAATTTGAATCTGATTGGTTGTAATTTTATAATTTCAATAAATGAGGTTTGATCTATTTTGTGCTGCTTTTTGAGATTATAAATAATTTTGAAAACTCGTTTTTACTTATTTATATACATAGTTTTCACTCTTTGAATTTTCGAACCTCAATTTTCTCAACACTGAGCTTTTGTTTGGATTGATCGAAATAGAGCAAAACAAAAGTTCACAGATAAGGTTTCAATGAAAAACCCTAATTTCATCATCAATAACATATCAAGACATTTTACGCAAAAATGAATAAAAAAACGTAGCAAGGTATTCCAATTTATAACAAGAGTTCATAAACACAAAATAAAACAAACATAAAGACTAGTGTTCTTGCAACATAAACATGCTCGAAGTACTGCGATACTTCTTATTTTATATGGTCAAAACCACGTTTCCACTATTTTTGCCTCGATACTCCCTGAGACCACCGCAATCCAGGTACCTTATTAGTAGATTGCACATCAGGAAGATCAGACTATTGTGTTTATTTTCATTTGAATGTACTCCATCCTATTAACAGAAATAGGAGTGAATACTAATTGATATAAGAGTAGTTGTATCATATGTACGATTTGTTTGGGGAGAGCATTTTTTCATCTTATCCTCACGGATTTTCATCCATATTCCATGATTAGATTCGAAGGCCTTTGGGAGACGCAATAGAAATTCATGTTAAACAAGATGGGGAAATACAACGTCTTGGCACAAAGGCCACGTCATTACGTAGTCATTGGTGCAAGAAGGTTCAACCAAGGTAAAAGAACAAACCACTGAAAGAAGCGTGTGGAAATCATGTGACAACACACTGAAAGATATTGTAACCTCGTTTGTACTAAATCCAAAATCCTGATTAGCATCTGAAGCGGGCCCGGTCCTGAGGCGAGGCCAATGAAGCCTGCGCCTCAGGCCCAAGACCGGAGAGGGCCTAATTTTGGCCAAGAATTTTTTTTTTTTTTTTTTTTTATAACAAGGCCAACAGATCTGAAATTCCCAAATTCGAAATTCCAGGGCCTCCTCGTTGCCGTCGGTCTCAGTCTCGTCTCCGCGACTCCGTTAGTCCGTCATCTGTCGCTCCAGTCTCTCTTCTCATCTTTTCTAGTTTTACCCTTCACCGGACACCAGTTCGCCCCTGTTGTTAGAATTGGACAAATGCGGAAAGTTCACCTCATACGATTACACGAAGAATTAGGAAACTGGAAACAGGTTTGTTGTTAATCATATTTTTCCAAATGGGTTTTCATTGTATTATGCAGTAAAGCATTCGTCTTTATCATGTTTTCCCAAATGGGATTGTGCCATTTTTGTATTGGACTGCCACCCTACAGATTTATAGGCATGGTCAGTTGGTCATAGACTCGGATAAAATGAAAAATCTTGAATCTCACAATATTATTTTTTAACGATATCTTTGCACTTTGCAGATGGTCTGCATTCTGTAATTTAGTAATTGCAGGAAGATTACCGGAACGAAGACAAAGAAAACAAGAAGTTTGTGAATTGTGAGTGATTATACTTTAAATGCTTTGGATTTGAATTGCTTGAGAGTAATTTCTTGGGTATGCAAAGCGTTGGAATTTCCAGTCAGTGATGTATTGATACCTTGATTTGCAATTAACTATTGCTATACTTGTATGGTTAGCATGTCATAAGGAAGGAGTGGGTAGTGGATTAGCGTGGCTATGTGAAATCGAAGAAATATATAAGCGAATGACTAGAAGAATGTTGGACAATTACTCATTTCCATGAAGAAATAGGAAGTAAATAAGTGGTATCTTTTGAGTTGTTTGCATTGCTAATTCACTCAAGGCATTTCTTTTATTGTGGAGGGGTCTTTTGAGAATAGTGTTTTTCAATTTCTTTGCTTTATTTCAGTTATTAAGTTCTCAAGATAAAAATGGTAGAAGGTATAAATTTATGTAAATAGGCAAATAGCTTCCGTGTGGTTGTCCCCTGTAAAAGATAAATTTGAAGTAATTTATTTTGTTGATGACACTGTTTTAATGGTGATTAATTCTTATTAAATGTGTTATTTCCCTAAGTTTGATTAAATGTGCTCTTGTGCAATTGTTATTTCCTTAAGTTTGATGATCATGTTCAAAATTGTATTGGTATTTGATGTTAAATTTTTATTCTAGGCTCATGAGTTATGACGGGGAAATTCTCAAGGGTGTAATTCCATAATTTTCGTCGAACTTCGTGTTTAGGTTGATTTCTTCGGAGGCCTAATTTATAAACTTTGTCTCGGGCCCCGACAATCACAGGACCGGCCCTGATCTAAAGTATGGTTTTTTGTGATTGGTTAGCTACTTCAACATTGTTATCAATTGGCTGTTCTCCTTTGGAATCTTCGAATGTATTCCTCGACTGGACAACGTTAACAGCAAATTCTCTGTTCATATATACTACAATCAAATTCTCTGGCCATGGCCAAACTTATTTATCTTCTTGCTTCACATAGCCAGACAGAATTTGCACTTACTTGAGCTCTCGTTCCTTCTGGGTTCGCTTCAAATCTTGTTCACTTTCATCCCATAAAGTAGACGTCTCTTTAGAAGGCTGATGATCAGAATAAACCTGAGAATATGGGTCTGTGTTTCCTAGTAGACTCCTATAAGATATTGGTATTATTGCAGTGATAAAATTTTCAATTCCCATAGATGGTGTGTTTGGAGGCATGTCAAATGTTGCCCATCCTTCATTTTTTTGACACTACATCAGAGATTGTGCTATTGGAACCAGCAGGCCATTTCTGTTGATCAGGCATCTCAGCAAACAAGTCTAAGGATGACGATGGAGGGGTTCGTGGCAGTTGATCTGAAGCGAAAGTTGGAGCTGAAGAAGTAGGAGATTGCCGGAAAAAAAATCAACATATTTAGCAAATGAAAAGGGTGAACTGAAAAGATCCAAGTCATCAGAGTTCTCAGATACTGAACGTTCTGATACAGAAGGCAAAGACAACCACATAGTACAGATTGTTTGGATTCTGAGGCAACTTCCAGAAAGTTAAAATGAGTATACAGATTTGGAAGACATGGAACTGCCATCAACTGATCCAACTCTTCCTGAAGATGCAGTGCTCTGAATTTAAGAAGTAAGGTTATAGTAAAGTAAGTTGATCAGCCAAAAAAATTAATGACAGGAAAAGACAACTAACCACAAAAAGACAAACAAAACCATTCATCCACAATAAACCTCAGAGGAAGAAAAGATAAAAATACAAATTTAAGAACTCAATTTCAACTTCTAAATTTTCTTCTCAATTGAATCCTGAATCATATGCAAAACTTCGAAGAAACATCACTGTTTAAAACAACTTGGCAGATCAAATCAGGTAATATTGATAATATGATACTGGTCCAGATGATTGTTTAAATTTTAGTTATAACATCTGTTTAAAACAACTTACTTGAGCTCTCATTGCTTCTGCATTTGCTACAAAATCTTGTTCACTTTAATGCCATAAAGTAGACATCTCTTGAGAAGGCTGATGATCAGGAGAATCCTGCAAATATGGATCTATGTTTCCTAGAAGACACCTATCAAAAGTTAATATCATTGTAGGGATTGCGTTTTCAGTTCCCATAGGTGATATGTACGGAGGCATGTCAGATGTTGCTCATCCGTTATTTTTTGACACTACATCAAAAAATTTTCTATTGGAACCAGCAGACCATTTCTGTTGATCAGGCGTCTCAGCAAACAAGTCTAAGGATGATGATGGAAGGGTGTGGGGCGGCTGATCCGAAACAAAAGTTGGAGCTGAAGAAGTAGGAGATTGCTGGAACAAATCAACATATTGAGCTCATGAAAAGGGTGAACTGAAAAGATCCAAGCCATCAGAGTTCTCAGATACCGAACGTTCCAATACAGCAGGCAAAGACAACAACTTGGTACGGGAAGTCTTGGCAGATTGTTCGGATTCTGAGGCAACTTCCAGGAAGTCAAATGAATATACATATTTAGAAGACATGGAACTGCCATCAACTGATCCAACGTGCTGAAGATGTACTGCTCTGAATTTATAAAGTAAGATTATAGAAGAGTCAGTTGATCAGCCAAAAAAACGATGCCAGGAAAAGACAACTAACCACAAAAATGCAAACAAAACCATTCATCCACTTCAAATCTGAGAGGAAGAAAAGATAAAAATACAAATTTAAGAACTCAATTTCAACTTCTAAATTTTCTTCTCAATTGAATCCTGAATCATATGCAGAATTTAGAAGAAGCATCACTGTTTAAAACCACTTAGCAGATCAAATCCAGTTTAACCAGGAGGCCAGTTCATTTGGCGTCCTCCAAGGAGGTGTATGTGAAGGTGATAAACGGATTGGCCTGTCAAAACCCGATTTCAGATAGAAGGGAAGACAGAAACTTAAAGTTGATGGTCGAGAGCAAATAAGAAAGAATACTTATATCCATCAGGCCCATCGTTAATCACGAGCCTGAAGCCTTTCTCAAGGCCTTCTTGTTTAGCAACGAGCTTTGCGGTGTAAAGCAGCCGGCCAAGAATCTCACAATGCTTCTCCTCAGCCTATAATGTGGCCATAGAAAATAAAAATGAACCCAAAAACCAAACAAGTTCTTTTAGAGTTCAAAGAGAAACCTCCAATTCCTCTCCCTCTCACCCTATTCTCCACCCTCTCTTTCTCTCCTTTCACTTGTGAAGTGCAAAGCACTAACCAGGTGTCAAAAGATTGTCAAAAAGTTGTTTCAGGGGCCTGAAACTTGATGGAGTTCTATCATTGTTATAACGTTATGCGCTAATTAACTGTGACAAACTCATCTGAGAATCATATCTTGGCAATTACTAGAAAGGCGACAAAACAAACATCTGCATTGGGAAAAGGCAGAGGAGCTCAATAGTCGAGCATTAAAACCAAAGTATTGGCATCAATATTTTCAAGTTAGAAGCAACTATGATTGTAAACATTTCATATCAGATTAGAGTGACATGAAATTTGAACAAAAATTGAGCCACAAGTATAGTTTAAAATTGAATCGAGGCATGCCCTAAAACATTGAAACAATGGAGAGAAGTACCTTAGAAATTCCAGTCAAGCCATCCTTCACTTTAGGGATAATAAGAATGTGAGTGACCGCTGGGGACCTATGTCCCTAAAAGCTAGAACCTGTACATAAAAAAATGACAAACATCAAGAAAATTACGAAATAAATTAAAGCTTAAAGTAAATACCCATGAAATGACTCGTCTATGGGTACATGTAAAATTTAACACAGCAAGAACAAAGATTGAAGAGGAAATGATGTATCTGCCATATTCTTATTTAATTCTCTAGATTATGTTTTACAAGGAGTAGCTCATTTCTATATATAGAAAGATGTTATACATAAAAGACAAAGAATATACAGGTGGCAAAACAAATTAACTAATTCTAGAACCTTCAGTAAAAATAATCAACTGAAAAATTACAAAAATGCCTATGTTGCTGATTGTGCTGCTGCTGATTATGTTGCTGACTGTTGCTGATTGTTACCATGTTCCAATACCCCCCCCCCCCACAAGATGGAGAATATATATTAATTATTCCCATCTTGGAGAGGTGAGATGAAAGGATGTGGGATGGTAGACACTTGGTAAAGATATCAGCCAATTGAGAATGTGTGGAGACATAAGCAGTCTTTATGCTCCCTTCTTAAAATTTTGTCGTGAATCAAGTGGTAGTCGACTTCAATATGCTTCGTACGTTCGTGAAATATAGGGTTGGCAACTATATTCAATGCAGCCTGATTATCATAGTAGAGAATGGCAGGTTATGGGTGATCAACCTTTAAATCAACAAGTAGTTGCCTTAACCAAGTAAATTTTGAACAAGTGGTAGACATGGCACGGTATTCTGCTTCAGCTGAACAGCGAGAGACAATACTTTGCATCTTTGATTTCCAAGAAATGAGAGAGTTGCCTAAGAAAATGCAAAATCCGGTGGTAGATCGTCTAGTGTCTGGGCAAGATGCCCAATCTGAATCACAGTATCCTTGGAGACTAAGGGAAGATGATGAAGAAAGAATAATACCTTGTCCAGGAGCACGTTTAAGGTATTTGAGAATTTTGTCTGCAACAGCTAGGTGAATGGTGGAAGGGTGAGCCATAAACTGGCTGAGAGTTTGAACACTATAACTGATGTCTGGTCTGGTTATGGTAAGGTACAAGAGTCGGCCAATGAGTCTTCGATAAACACTGGGATCAGGTAAAGGAAGGCCAGAGTCTTTGCTGAGTCCTTGATTTTGTTCTATAGGAATTTTGGTAGGTTTTGATCCTAGTATACCTGAGTCTGCCAGAATGTCTAAAGTGTATTTGCGTTGACAAAGGTGAATGCCAAGTGGAGACCTGGCTACTTCAATGCCAAGAAAGTATCGTAAATTTTCAAGATCTTTAATTTTGAAATGTTGGTTTAAAAATTCTTTGATCATATTGATTGAATCAAGGGAATTGCTAGCCACAGCAATGTCGTCAACATATACCAGTAGGGCAGTGAAATGTTCACCATCAGACCAGGTGAATAAACTATAATCCAATTTGGACTGAATGAAGCCAAAAGAGATAAGAAAAGTAGAGAATTTTGAATACCATTGCCTAGAAGCCTGTTTAAGGCCATAAAGGCTGCGAAGCAGTTTGTAAACCTGGCCAGATTTTCCTTTATTGTATCCAGGAGGCCGTTTCATATAAATTTCCTCATTAAGTTCTCCATGAAGGAAAGCATTGTTGAAGTCAAATTGTTGGAGATGCCATCCTCTAATGGTAGCTAGAGCTAAAAGAGTTTTGACAGTGACCATTTTAGCAACTGGGGAGAAAGTTTCACGATAATCCACTCCTTGTTGTTGAGTGAATCCCTTGGCTACCAAGCGAGCCTTTTTCCTTTCCACCGTGCCGTCAAATTTTTACTTAGTTTTGAACACATATTTGTAAAGAATAGCATCTTTTCCATATGGGAGATCAGTAACAACCCAAGTATTATTGACTTCTAAGGCATCAAGTTCAGCTTCTATTGCCTTACACCAGTCTTGGTCCTTGACAGCCTATTTATATGTTTGGGGTCAGTGTGTAAGGAAATAGAAGAGGTGAAAGCTAAGTAAGTTGGTGACAGGTGTTGATAAGAAATGAATGTGTTAAAGGAAATTTGGATGCAAATTGAGTAGGTGAGCCGAGGGAAGCTTGTTGACAGTGGAAATCTTGAAGATATTGAGGAGCTCTTCATATCCTGGTTGATCTTCTAAGTGTGTTTTCAATGGGTGGATCAGATGATAAGGTAACGGGGGATTCATTATGAGAGGCTAACTCTAAATGTGTAAAAGGAGAATCTGTATTAGGGGACAAAGGAAGAAAATAGGATGTGGTTGCGGGATCCATAGAAGATGATTGAAGTGGAGAGGGAATGTTGGTTGAGGGATTTATAGTCTGATGAAAATCAGTAACAACAGGAAGAAGGGGAGCATGATTGGTTGTGTCACTAAATGAAAAATGTCCTTCATGAAAAATAACATCACGAGATATGAAAATCGATTGTGTGTTGAGGTCTAGGAGTTTGTATCCTTTTACACCAAAAGGATACCCAAGAAGAAAACATTTTCTTCCTCGAAGGTCAAATTTCTTCCTGTCTCTAGATAGAGTGGAGGCAAAACACAAGCAGCCAAATGTTTTCATGTGAGAATATGATGGTTATTTGTTAAACAATAACTTAAAAGGAGTTTTATTTGACAGTAGAGGTGTTGGGATACGACTAATTATATACACGGCAGTTAAAATGCAATCATTCCAGAATTTTGCAGGTAGTTTGGCTTGGATTTTAGTGATCGAGCTATATTCAAGAGATGCTGATGTTTTCTTTCAACAATTCCATTTTGTTGGGGTGATTCTACACAGGTTCTATGATGAATAATGCCCTTTTTATTGAAGAAGTCCTTCATTTGAAATTCTAGTCTATTATCACTTCGAAGGATTTTAATCTTAGCACTAAATTGTGTTTCCACCAAACTACAGAATGCTTCTAAACAGGTCCTAGTGTCGGATTTTGCTTTAAGAGGATAAACCCAAGTACTTCTAGAGAAATCATCGACAATGGTCAAAAAATACTTGGATCCATCATAAGCTTCTGTAGAACTTGGTCCCCAAATATCATAAAGAATGAGTTCAAAATTTTGTTTGGTTTTATGGGTGCTGACAGGAAATGGTAATCTATGTTGTTTTGCAAGTGGACATACATAACAAGGAACATCTCGAGTAAATCTTTCTTAACAATAGGATCAGAAATTAAATTCAACCTTGAGAAAGGTGTATGGCCAAGTCTAAGATGCCATAGCTGGGAAACAACAGAATTACTAGAAGAAGCTGAAGCAAACATGCTCTTATTTAAAGAAAAATGATCAACTAAGGCTGTTGGAGGCACTTCAGTGACCAGCAAGTGATATAAACCATTCCTCATTTAACCCATGCCAATCATGGTCCAAGATGAAAGGTCCTAAATAAAGCAAGAGTATGAGAAGAAAATGAAGCAACAAGTGTGAGAGTTAGCCAATTGTTTAGCAGAAATTAGATTGAAATTAAAAGAGGGTACGCATAAGACATTCTTCAGGATAAGGTTTCTTATGATCCTAACTGTGCCTATATGACTAACAGGTGCCTTGCTTCCATTGGGCAGATTTACAATGCATGGAAGTTGAGATTTAATGGATGTAAAAAGTGAAGTACTACATATCATGTGGTCTGTGGCACCAGTGTCTATGATCTAGGGCAGATCAGTAAAATTTTGTTTTGTTTGGGCTAAAGAACAAAGGCTGAGAGATATACCAGACATGTTGATATCCTGTGGACTACTGACTGTGGGATTGAAAGTTGTCTGGACTTGGTTTACTGAATGAGTGGCAATAGTAGCATCCCTTGGTTGAATTAGGGCCAATAGTTGTTGATATTGATCTTTGGTAAAGATCATTTTCTCTTCAGCTATTTCTTCTTGGTCTAGAGAGGTCAGATTTGCAAAAGGACCAGATGTCTTACTCCTGTTATGGAGTTTACGTCCAGCTTGAAGCAATGTTCCAAAAGATGACCATTTATATGGCAGTGAGTACAGTAAGGTCTTTCGTGTTTTTGAGGAAATGACTTCTTGACATTGGGTTTGGAAAGGGTAAAACTCCTTTTGACAGTGAAGGCCATAGAATCAGGAAAGGGTGTGGCAGATAACATGGTGTGTTGTTTTTCTTGTTGTTGAATCATAGAGAAAATTTTATTCACAAGAGGCAAAGGATCCAGTATCATGATTTGATCTCGAATGTTACTGTAAGATTCATTTAGTCCCATCGAGAATTGAATCACACAGTCTCGTTGGTATCTATCCAGTAGGATTTTAAGTTTTCCACAATTGCAATCTGGGACTGGGTCATAAACAGCCAATTCATCCCATAGTGATTTCAGCTTTCCATAATAAATACTTACAGGTTCTTGATCTTGTTGTAGTGCAGCCAACGCCTTCTTCAGTTGGAATATGCGAGGCCCATTCTGCTGGGTAAATCGATCCTTTAACTCAGCCCAGATTTCTGAAGCATCATCAACTAATGCTATGCTGGATTTCAAGTTCTGGCTAATAGAATTTTGCAACCAAGAAACCACCAAATCTTTGCACCGTTCCCATGCTTCAAAAAAGTGGATCAGCAATGTCCTTGGGCTTAACTAATGTACCATTGACGAAACTGAGCTTGTTTTTAGGTCGAAGTGCTCAACACATAGCCCTCGACCAGGTAGTGTAATTGTCTGTAGTGAGTAGTTCTGGAACCAACGAAACTGAAGGATTATCTCCATGGTCCAAACGGTAAGGATTAGTAACATTGTTGAAATCAAGAAATGGGGATGGAAGAGTGGGAGGATTCGGATTGGTTGAATTAGCAGCTATGGTTGGGTCTAGGGTTGTTGATTCAGCTGCCATGAATGTTGTTCTTTATTTAAAACCTTGCTCTGATACCATGTAAAATTTAACACAGCAAGAACAAAGATTGAAGAGGAAATGATGTATCTGCCATATTCTTATTTAATTCTCTAGATTATGTTTTACAGGGAGCAGCTCGTTTCTATATATAGAAAGATGCTATACATAAAAGACAAAGAATGTACAAGTGGCAAAACAAATTAACTAATTCTAGGACCTTCAGTAAAAATAACCGACTAAAAAATCACAAAAATGCCTAGCTGATTGTGCTGCTGCTGATTGTGTTGCTGACCGTTGCTGATTGTCACCATTTTCCAATAGTACATACGTTATAAATTTATTATTGCAGAAGAGAACAGTATAAGAAGAAGAAATTATATAAGGACCAACATGCAGAGAAAAAAATGAAAGAAGCCTCGCCATTCAAAATTATGAAATCAAGACTCTTTCCTGTTTTTGTCAAAAACCCCAACTACCCTTGTCTTCATCTCCTTCCTCGACCCCACCATCCCGTACTTTGTCCCCTGCTTTGACTTTTAAGAAAAAATCTTTTAAACACAATGATGAATATTAATGGAAGTATTTCACCTGACCATTGCAAGATTGCCCTTTGGAACTAGGATAATTATTTAGAGTGTGCAAATGTCCAATAAACAATTAATCCACTGAAGGATGAGAATTCCCATTTAATAAAGAATGTATGTAATAAATATGCAATGCATTCCCAATTCTCTGACAGCAAATTTAATTTAGGGACAAGTAACAATCATTCATAAATATAAACCTCACAACATAGTGCTTGATAAATTGAATAATCCAATGAAGAAAAATCCACTTAGAAGAAAATTAACTCGTAGACTATGTCATAGAAATCATAGCATTAAAGACCAAAGCATTGCAATCAGAACTTCCAAAATTACAAAATATAATTAAGACTTAATAATGTGTTTCAATTGATGCATAATTAGAGAAGAGATATGTTTGAAACCAACCAAGAAAGGAACAGGAATTTAAAGACGGCATTCCTTTCCTTTTTCAATCTCTATTTGTGTCCATCAATGGCGGTAATCTAAATAAAGAAATGTTAATGTTTTTGTGTGTGCATGTATGTGTGAAACTTAAATCAAAACTTACAAAACGACCAAATTAATATATTAAAACTAAAATGATGATTTTCAAATGAAGCAAAACTAGAGAATAGAATGTGTCTGAAATCAACTAGGAAAAAGAACACGAATATAAAAAGAGCGTTCCTTTTCTTCAAGCTATTTCTATGTTTCAATCTCTATTGTGCCCCCGTCTGAACCAAATGGTATGTGTGCAACTTGCACCACCACTTCCGTTATTCAAGAGGCAGCGCAGTAAGTATATCAACGACCAATGCCATTTCTAGTGAGCATTTTAAATCAATCCATCAATGAAGGACATCTAAATAAAGAAATTCTAGCATTTCTCTCTGTGTGTAGGTCGTGACAAGACCTACGGAAACGGAATACAGGTAGAAGAGAGAAGTGTGTATATATATATATATCATCCAGAAACTCTTAAATCAGAAATTACAAAATAACTACATTGATTTAATAAACTAAAAATAATGTCCTTGTTTGAGCCCATTTTTTCAAAACTCATTTTTAACCGCACATTCTTAATTATACACGTATTTCAAAAAAATTTCCTTACTTTTTAATCAAACATTCTCCAAAAAATCACTATTTCATAATACATTTTATCCCAAAAATGAGAATCAAACAGGAGCAATATGTTTCAAATGAATCAAAATTAGAGATTACAAACGTGTTTGAAATCAAGTAGGAAAGGAACACGAATATTAAGAGAGATTTCCTTTTCCTCAAACTAAATTGATATAATAAAACTAAAATAATATGTTTCAAATAAAGATAATTAGAGAATAAAAATGTTTGAAATCAACTAGGAAAGGAACAGGAATATAAAAAGAGCTTTCCTTATCCTAAATTGTTTATGTGTTTCAATCTCTCTGTGTGCCCTCGTCTGAACCGAATGGTATGTGTGCAGGTCGCACCACCACTTCAGTTATTCAAGAGGCAATGCAGTATCTATATCAACAAGCAATTCTATATTGCGAGCAGGTTAAATTAATCCATCAATGATGGGAATCTAAATAAAGAAATGCTAGTGTTTTTGTGTGCGAGTGACAAGACCTATAGGAAAACTATAGAGGTAGAACAGTAGAAGAGAGGAGAATATAATTTTATAAACCCATAAAATTTACAAACAGAAACACTTAAACCCAGAATTTATAA